ACATATACAGACGAATGGGGGAGGAGAGACGAAGGAGGTGGGGCAGGTAGACAACACTGAAAGTCACCGAGATAGAATCTGATAGGTCACCGATATGGTAGTCCAAAATGTCATCCAACAAGATCAAAATGTCGAGGACAATAGGTCACCAATGTCGGAGGTACCGAGTCCAAATGTAACCGGTGTCCGAACTGCGATGCAGCCGAGTATCAACCCCAACAATCTCCAAGTCTCCAATCAGGTAAGTACCACAGTCTCATATCACCGAAGTCCAACTCTGATCTCTGTCCAACTAGTATAAGTATCCAATCTGAAGAAGAAGAAGAAGAAGAAGAAGAAGAAGAAGAAGAAGAAGAAGAAGAAGAAGAAAAAGAAAAAGAAAAAGAAGAAGAAGAAGAAGAAGAAGAAGAAAAAGAAGAAGAAAAAGAAGAAGAAGAAGAAGAAGAAGAAGAAGAAGAAGAAGGAGGGAGCCGAGGAGGAGAGGGCGAGAGAGGGGACTGGCGATGGGAGGGAGGAGAGAAACCTCCAACTCCCGGTACTTCAGGCGACTATGGCCGCCGGTAACCCAGTCACCGCTGCTGCTGCTCCGCTCGCTGCTGTTGCGCTCGTTGTTGCTGCGCTAATCGCTGCGCTGCCTGCTCCTCGCTCCTGCGCTAAACATAGCGCTCTAACGGCACTCTGGTGCCGACCTTACCGTACCGTAGTATACCGGTGGGTCGATCCCTGAAGTGAGGCCGGGCTGGTTCTTTATACCGGTGGGCAAAGGCCGGCCTCACTGCTGCGAAGCCTGGCTGTGCCCTGAACCGTCCAGAAGAACGGTTCAGCCCCAACAGGCGGGCGGCAGCCTAAAGAGCGCCGCCAGGCCCAAACGGTAATGTCGTTTGGGCCTGCCCGTCGGGTCTGGTCCAAGGTGAGGCCTTTATGGCCTGTAGAATTGAAAGGTCGGGCCTTTAGGCCCTGATGTGTCCCTCCGGCCCTAAGTCGGGTCCGGTAGGACCCGTGTGCGTCGAAGATGTAACACACTCCCCCTCTTAAAAGACCGAGCTACCTGCGAGGGCGAAGTTGTCTGTCCAATACCGGGGTGGGTCGGGCGGGACGAGCTGCGTCCTTAGCAAGCCGTCGCTTCTCATAGTCGGCGAATATGAGGGGTGCAGAAGTCTGCAAATCTGTACTGGAGATCCACCGAGTGTCATCAGGCGCACATTGCTTGAATTTGACTTTGTACTGCCTTGGCTTGTTGTCATACTTGCGGTGCGTGATGACTCGGTCTACTTCCTGATGTCCGTCCATAGAAGGCGGATCCTGTGATCGACGTCCAGGGAACTCGTCAGCTGAAGGTGGCGTGTAGATGGCCAGCTTCGATGCGTGGAAGACCCGATGCACTGTCAGGTGCGGTGGAATGTTGATCACGAAGGAAGGACCTGCGGGGTCGTCACCAACGGCAGAAGTGACTTCCCATGGTCCGAACCATTTCGGAAGGAGTTTGCGCGAAACATCCTGCTCGAGCGCAAATTCCTCGGAGAGGACCCAAACAAGGTCTCCCTCRCGGAAAGGACATGGAAGTCGACGTCGGTTAGCTTGCTGCTGCATGCGGATCTGAGCCTTTTGCATATTCGCGCGGGCTTTGATCAGCAAGTCCCGATACTTCCTGACAGAAGCGGGAGAGCAAGGGACGTCTATGTCGGCAACCTGAGGCAAAAGGAGATCAGCGAAGATCCGTGCTTTCTCTCCACCATGATGTAGCTCGAATGGTGTGACGCAGATCGCCGGGTGCACCRAAGTGTTGTAGGCGAACTCGATGTCGGGAAGCCGGTCAACCCAATCTTTCTGGTCGGGACGGATGAGCATACGCAACATCATCTGAGCGGTCTGGTGCGCTCGCTCCGTCTGACCATCCGTCTGCGGGTGCCGAGCCGAGCTCGAGTCCCCTTCGGCCAGTGAAAACGCTGGCGGAGGCGGTGCCGAGCCAGTAAGCAGGGCGGAAGGAGATACAGGCACAGTCTGAGTACAAAAGGAAGAAGGATTTGACAACGAAGCCCACATTCTCCACAGCATCCATGGGATGAGCAGGTGGTGGGGAGAGTGATTAGCTCCTTGTGTGTGAAATTCCCAGGAACAGGACCTTGGTCTCCACAGACATCGTATAGAGAAATGCTCAGCCAGCAATCTCATTCTCTTTTTCCTTTTCTTTTTCCTTTTCTTTGTTTTTTTGTTTTTCTCAACCTCAATCTCTACATCAACTTTGTATAACATTGTATATTACTTGGATGCTGGACCCCATTTCCAGCAAGTGCCTCTCCCCACTAATAGATGGAGCCCTCCACTAGGGGAGCCACTTGAGGAGGATGCTCTTATCACCTACTCAAGAAGTGGTAAAAAAACAAAAACAAAAAAGGAACACTTTCTTCTGTTTTTTTTTTTTTGCGGGGGGAGGTGGGGGGTGCCATCTTCTGGCACGAGGTACATCACTTGAGTTTCATGGTAGGATGGTACCAGTACCCCGACATTTTTTTTTTCAGCCTGTTAATGTAGCAGTCAGGCTCTGAAACCGGGGCCGAGGTCCCACTAGCAAAGAGGATCAGATCGAATGCCTGAAATCTGGATGTCTTTTATGCAGAGATGCAGAAAAGCAGTTCAATCTCGATTTCCTGCACCTCTCTACAAACAGGTCCACATTCAGTCGTTCGATCCGATCGTCTTTGCTAGTGGGACCACCCCCCGACAACTTTTGGTTTCTCTCATCAATTTAGTCTCGGTGGCTGGAAAAGTTTTGGCATGGAAGGGCATTTTGGGACCCCACCGGGCCGCCAGGAAGTTTTGCAGAGGTCTGGCGACATCCATTTCAGACCCCACCGCCGTTTCCAAAACACCGCCAACCGTGTTTCTACACGGCTGGAAGAGTGTCCGCCTGCGGCCAGCATTCTTTTCCAAAACGCCCTCCAACAGGGTAGGGAGGGCAAAGCGCCAGCCGTTGGCATCCGCTACCTGCAAAGTTTGTGTTCCCACAGGAGGCAACAGCCAATAGCAGTGAAGAGTGCCACAAAAAAACAAAAAAAAAAACAACGAAAAAAAGAACAAATGAGTGCCAACTGAAACAGGCAACTAACGACTGTACTTGAACAGGATCTGTTCTGTAGGTTGTACACTTTCCTGTATCTACGAATACAGGCGACTCACTGAACCTGGATAATGAGCGGAGACCTCCATTTCTGAGCGCGAATATTGGGCGGGGGGCTTGTCTTTGAAAAAAAAAAAAAAAAAGAGGCAACCATTGGCTCACCTGATTTCCAAAGGGTTTTCCAAGAGCAATTGGTCCTCGGCGGAGGGGTCCCGGAAAAAGTACTTTCCGACTTTCCCAAACGACTTGCCTGCTTTTCGTGGCCACACGTCTTTCCGACTTTCCCAAACGACCACACGTCTTTTCCAGCCGCCGGCCGGTGGGGTCCAAGCCTTAGGGATGGACCCCACTGCTCGGCGGCTGGAAAAAACCATAAAAAGTGGTGGAAAGACGGCGGAAAGACTTTGGCGGGTTTCCGTGGGGCCCCACCGCCAAAGTATTTTCGAAGCTCTGCAAACAGCAAAACATACCCGAAAAGGAAAAGTCGGAGGGTCCCCCCCGCCCTGGAAAAGGAAAGTTGGGATGGGATTGCGGTACATCAAAATCGTCCATCGCTGGACCAGGACACACAACGGCCCACATGGGAACCGTGCTACAGGGCAGTGCATGTCCGAGGGGGCTTGCCCGCCCATGAAACAATCCACCATGACGTCAGCTGGACCACGCCCGCTCGGCATCTTCTTTCCACGGGAGAACATGCCCCCCCCCCTAGCCGGTTGGAAGGCCTTTCTGGAAAGGT